ATTGCTTAAGTATTAAAAGATATTTGTTTTATTCTCAAGTTTTGATATATTGAGTTAGAACTCAACTACAACTCATATTTATACATTTTCTTCAAAATACAAATATAATATTAAAAACAAGAAAAAGATATAAAAGATAATTATACTAACTAAAAATAGAATTCCAATTTATTAAATATAGAAAGTAGAGAAATAAAGGAGGAAAAATATAAATCTCAAAGAATTTTGATTGGTTAAATTATATTTACTCAGAATAAATAAGTATAAAAATATAAAAAGTATAAATGTGTAAAAATATAAAAAGTATAAAAAATATAAGAATACAAAGTAGAAAAGTATAAAAAGTATAAAAAATATAAGAGTACAAAGTAAAAAAAGTATAAAAAATATATGAGTACAAAGTAGAAAAAGTATAAAAAGTATAAGAGTACAAGATAGAAAAATAAAAGTATATGAATATAATAATTAATAATATATAAGAAATTTGTAAAATATTCTAAGTTCTTTATATAATTTTTATAATTTCGTAAAATATTACAAATTATAGAATTAATAAATTTTATAATATAATTGCAACAGTATTGTATCTTAGATTAATTCTTGTCTCAGATAATAACTAAGATATATTAGATATCAATCATTAAGTGAAATATATAATCTATTAATTAATTATTTGTAGTATCTCAGTTGTTATCCAAGATAAAATAATTATAATTAATATATCAAAGATCTTTTAGAATTTTGACTTTTATTTTAATATATTCATTTTAATATGAAATATAATTTTATTAATAAAAGTATTTCTAATTAAATTCTTAATAATTATTTTCTAGTTAAAAATATGAAAAAATTTTAAATTATAAATTATTAAATAAAATAAAATATATTCTATTGAATCTTCAAAGTATTTCTTTTTATGATAAAAATATTCAAATTTGAACTAGAAATAATTCTGACTTAAAGAAATAATTTTTAATAATTATAGAATTATTATAAAGATTATTAATAATTCAATATTAATTATTAAAAATATAAAACAAATATAGAAAATGGTGCAAAAAAATAGAACTAGATAAATAGAATATTATTAAATAATTTATAAATAATTATATAATATATGCTATTTAAAAGTTATTTTTTCATTTTCTAATTATTAAACTAATAATTACAAAAAATATTTTATTTATATTTTTTAAATAAAAATTATTTTATATATATATATAAAAGAATTTAATTAATATAACTTTTAATTCAGATAAAAAATTTAAATATATATATTATATGCATAATTATTTTATATAATTTTCATGAACAAAGATATTTACTTCTAAAAAAATAATTAAAATTATAGCTTATTTGTTTAATTTTTTTTATTTGATAAGATTATCTTCTATATTACTACAATCAGATAATAAAAAAGAGTTTTGTATAGATATTATTAGAAAATTAATTAAATTATAAAATTAATTAAATTATGATTATCAATAAAAATTATAAATAGATAATTTAAATATTCTTAATTTCAAGAACTTATAAAATATACAAACAAAATATTGAAACAAAAATTAGAAAAGTAAAAAAAAATACTGGTTATAATAATTGATTAATCTTTTGGTTTAAGATTTATTATTATAACTATAAATAGCTCATGATGTCAGTTATATAAAAAAATATTTTATAAACTTGTCTATAATAATAAATTTTATGATAACTATATATTAATTAATAATTTATTCAAAAAAAATATTCATATCAAAGAAAAAATTCCAAATATTATTAAAATTCAAGATAATATTATTATAAATTTAGATAATGATATTGAAGATAAAATTTATATCTTTTATAATTTATGATTCTATTTTTTTTAAGAATTTACAAAATTTTCTAATTAATAACTAGATAATAACAACATTTTGAATAAGTTAATATTTGTTATAATTTCTTTTTTTTAATTATTTTTTTTACTGACTCAAAAATTCTCAGATAAAAGTTCAAATTCTTTAAATCAGCAAATAAATAGTGATATATTTTAGGTAAATTCATATTTATTATAATTTCTTTTTTTTACTAACTTGAAAATTCTCAGACAGAAATCTGGAATCTTCAAATTAGCAAATAAATAATGATAATACTTTGTGTAAGTTCACATTTTTTTTAATTAATTTTTTACTAACTCAAAAATTCTCAAACAAAAGTTCAAAATTTTTAAATTAAAATAAGTTTGCATTATTATGATTTTTTTTAATTTACTAACTGAAAATTCTTAGATAAAAGTTCAAAATCTTTAAATCAACAAATAAATAATAATAATGCTTTGAATATATTCATTATGATTTCTTTTTAATTAATTATATTTTTTTAAATAATTATATTTTTTTAATTAATTATATTTTTTTAAAATAATCATATTTTTTTACTAACTTGAAAATTCTTAAATGAAAATCTAGAATCTTAAATTAGCAAATAAATAATAACAATACTTTGGATAAGTTTATATTTATTTAATTTTTTTTTAATTAATCTTTATTTTTACTTCAATTACTAACTTGAAAATTCTTAGACAGAAATTCAAAATCTTCAAATCAGCAAATAAATAATGGTAATACTTTGAATAAGTTTATGTTCATTATAATTTCTTTTTTTCAATTAATTTTTTTTACTAACTTGAAAATTCTTAGATAAAAGTTCAGAATCTTTAAATTAGTAAATGAATAGTAATAACATCTTGGATAAGTTCATATTTGTTATGATTTTTTTTTATTTTTTTTATTAACTTAAAAAATTCTTAGACAAGAGTTTACAAAATTTGTGTTAGTAATTAGATAATATTTTAAATCTGGTTTCAGAATTATTATATTAACAATCAAGAAATAATCTGATTTTTACTGATATTACAAATCAGATTTCTAATATTATATAACATAAAATTTTGTAAAGTATTACACAATAAGATTTTTGGCTTTACACTAAAAATATGATAAAACAAATGCTAAAAAAAAGAAAAGTTATAGATTTTCATGTTGGTGATCTTGTACAAGTTAATATTCCAAAAATTGATTGATTTTGCATTGATTATTCCTTGCAAACTTATGGACAAAATTGGTGAATAGTACTGATTAGGCTGTAAATCTGATATAATTAATGTTTGTTATTCATCAAGTGAGCTTGAAGCACTTGGAATCATCACATATCCTGAACTTGATGAGATTTCATTATGTAAATATCCATTCAAGAGACAGGGAGATTACAAAGTGTGTAATTAATATCAAGCATCATTTGTAATTCTTGTGATAACAATAAGTGTAGATGTAAAAGAATAGGAGGAAATTGTACAAGCAGATGTCATGGTGAAAAATCATGTTCAAATAATAATTACGTAATTGTATTATTATCAAATTAGAAATTTAGAATTAATACAAATTTTCATGATTAATCTAATGTATAGGTTTTACATGATTTTTATTCAAAGAGGAAGTTTTGGGTATTTGAAGAAATATAATTCTTTTTTTTATTGAATCCGTAGGCCATTCTTTTATAAATGGTAACAACTAGGTGCCTCAGATAATCAATCAACAGATTACGCACCTCACCTGATGATGCGTCTCAGTTGCCACCTGAGGCAAGAATCGATCTGAGGCACAACATATGCATTAAAATGATGTATTTTTGTATGAATATCAGATAAATCAAAAAGTGCAAGACAAATATATTGAAGATATGTAGACAAATATCAGTCGAGTATCAGTCATTATTGTTCATAGGGTTGTAGTCCCCTTGAAAAGTACTATGGTCAGTGGCGTACGGTACTATTATTTAATGCTTTTAAACAAGTGTTCACGTACTGAATTTATGTGCTAACGTCAAAACAGACATTTATTGGGTTATAGCATAAACGTGTACTGTACTATGCTACATGTATTTAGATAACCTATATTCCGAACCCATACCCAATACAGTATATTACAATGAACGAAATAGCAAAGAACAGGATACGTAGTAATTTCTCACATTTATTATACTTACAAATTTATATTTGCAAATATAAACACAGTAATCTATGTTAACGTTAATTCGGTTTTCATATAGCATAAAGTCAGACCTGGATATAACGATCCTCTTATAGCAAGATTTGGTAACACTCGTTATCGTTATCGTTATATTGAGCTGATTTTTATTATTCTGTTAACTGATTAAGTTTTGCAGTCAATTCTTCTATTTGTTTCACCAATGGATTTTGTATCCATCATGATTTCAGATAAGCCAAAACGAAATAGTACGGTATGGAAATAGAACATAAAATCCGATGTCAATCCTGATTTCTGTATACGTACGTACGTACTAAAATGAATCATACAATATTTAGTATTGTTATATACCGTAAAGTCCCGAAAGTAAGCAACCTCCGAAAATAAGCAACCCTCCCTCTTGAGCTTTCAAAGTCTTAGAAAAGTTGAATAAGCAACCCCTATATATAATAGATATGTATAGATATAATAAAAGTTATTTATAAATAACTCGACAACCAGTGATCCAAATCGAACGAAACAACTACCGAAATGTTCGTCTCACTGAGACGAATCTAACGAGCTATAGCACGCTCGATTTGGACAACTTGTTGCCGAGAGATTTACATTTTTGCGAAAGACTCGAAAATAAGCAAAAATCGATCTAAAAATGATGACGTAGAGAGTTGCTTATTTTCGGGACTTTACGGTACGTAGTATTTACTAAATTTATCAACCATTTGTAGACAATTTATCAACCATGTATAGACAATTTCACAAATAGGGGGTAGAAGATCCTTTGATTTTTAAATTTTTATTAAAAAAATCCTCTATAGGTTCATACGTAAAATACTATCGATCGATCGCTATTCTTTTATAACTAAAATAGCTTAACGCATAAACACATAATGTGACGATAAAGCAACATAAAAAAGCAAACTTTTTCAAAAATTTCTCCCCATAAACATTTCTAAATGTTTATTTGAGTTTCTCAAAATGCTGAGTTTTGTACATCACACATTTAGATTTGTGAAGAGAACAGCATTGAAATTTTTAGCTGACCAAGTTCCCGAACGTTCCCTCGAGCCACAAATTTTACGCATTTTGAAATTGCTCAGCACTTATGTTATTTATTTGGCGTGTTTTGGATATCTTATTTATCTTGCGTTAGGGATTCAACATGAAAATCCAAATGTTGAAATAAAGACAGTAGAGGCCCAAAATATTCCTGCTCCATGTTTGTCATCCACAAATCTACTATAGTTTTTATTATTCACGCGTATTTTCGAAATCATTAATTTCGTTATGTTTTATTAAAAAAACTCCAAGTATTTAATATTTCATCACCTTTTAACTTTACGATGCACTGCGAGTTTTACAATAAACGTATGTATTAAGCAATGCATCAGGCTCATTTCGAGTAAAGCGGTTTCAACTCATCAATTTTCTTTTCCTCAGTTGGCCAAATTGTAGCGCACAATGGATCCGAATGTTCCCAATTCTTGCAACAGGCACAGAGAGATAATCAAACACTACATTACATTGGATACTGGAACAATCCAAGTATAGAAATGAACGATACTGGAATATTCACCATCTCTCTAAAGGTATTTGTAGATCGTTTGGATTTAAGATCTGCCAAGCTAGATGAAAGAGGACCTGCAATTTACAGTTCAATGCTGATTTCGTTTTCAGATGCCGGTAATTGTTTTAATCATTCATCTAATTAACTTTGCTAGTTCTGCTTTCACTATACGAGACTTTTGATGAAAATACAGAAACCGAACAGATCAATTTCGAGCCTGCTAAAGCAGAATCGGTTGAAGCGAAAAGAGAAGCAATTAAGTTGGGAAACACTTATATTTTATCACCAAAGAATGTAAGATCAATATTTTATTTACCATTTTATTTAGTAATTATATTAACTTTTTTATTCTCGCTTTAATTCCAAAAAGCAATATCTTTTATGGTTTTGGCGACTTCAAAAGAAAGATCTTGACGTGAGTGAGTGGGGAAACAGAGTTGGTTTCGAAACTAAAACGAATGACTATTACATGATTGAAACACTAATGCGTAAGTTTTTCATTGCTTTATCATAACGTTTATTATGAGTATTAATTATTTTTTAAAATCTAGAGAATGCTGATCCTATAAATATATCAAATTTTTCTCCGTTTGCGAGTGTTGATATCCTATATCAAACACGCATCATTGAAATAGATGGACAGACCAAGTAAATGATTGTGGTGTGCCGTTTTATATAAAATTCTTCTCTATTAACTACAATTTATTTTTTTTCATTGTAAAAATTCCAAAGACAAAACACAGTAAGTCTTTTGCTTTTTTTATTCTATAAATAATATAAATAGAATTCTTTCTAATCTAAAAAAATTCATATATGAATAAGGTTCTATCTTTACTAAGCGGCATTGGAGGTGCATATGGTCTTTTTATAGCTGTGTATTGCTTTTGCTTTGGTATGTATCCATCTATCATATTTAACTTCTATGAAAATTTTTATGCTCAAGTTGGACTCTAATTTTAGTATTATGATTTTTAGGTGCACAGCAAATAGGTCCATGGGGATGGATTTATGAATGTTACGGTGTTCGTAGGAGACTCAAGAATAGAATTAACGAAAAATTCAAACATCATTTTCCACTTGTAGAAATAAAATATCCGGACGAGAAAAACAATGAAGATATCACGCAAGAAAACATCCATCGACGATTAAATGATTTGGAGTGGCAAAATGCGTTACTTCAGTTAATGATTAGAGAGTATGTAGTTGATATTGGAAACCTTGAAGATTTAAAAAGGATTCCAACTAGAAATAGCACAGGAGTATAGATCAATTCAATTTCTTATAATTCTACAGCAAAAGATTTAATAGGAGACGATTTTTACAATATCAACATATACTGACTGTAACATATCAACATGGATTCTTTCAGTATAATTTATATACTGTAATATGCATAGTATAGTATAAGTATAGTATAAACCTAAGCACATGTACATGTATATTATTGTTTAATTTACGTACTTTCTCAGAATATAAATCAAAACTTTGTTTAATTTTACTGTCTCAGAATATATACATCAAAAATTTGCTTCTTTCTAATCTGCATCGTATGTTTAATCGATAACACAAAAACTCAGCGAACAAATGAAAAGACATGGAAATACATCAAAAGGAGTCTGGAGCACTGTATACTAGTTATCCGAATTTAGACACGGAAAGGTACAAAATGTGGGTGTCTATTACATGTACTTATTCATTGTATTTTTTTGTGCATTTTCCATCTCTTTCAAGAAATTTGTCAGAAACTCAAGCACATGAAATAACTGGAAATACTTCGAAAGGAGTCTGAAATCACGCGGAGTAGTCCCGGTGCTTACTTGAATTTAGACGCGAAAATGTACGAAATGTGGGTTGATATACCTCATACATTATTATCTTTCTTGTTTTTGATAGACGTGGGAGACGATAGAATTGATGGTTCAATTTTTAAGATAACGGCATACCTATTTACCCATGGTGAGTAATCTAATTAAGTCAGAAAATAGAAGATGACTAAACATTCAATAAGTTATTTATGTGATGACATGATATGATGACATTATATGATGACATAAGGGTGTAATGTTTCTCAAAAAACTCTAATTTTCACTTGCATATACTTTAAAAATAAAGCGAACAGTAATTTACATATAGACATATACTTTCTATACGAGTATATGTTTGGTATAAAAAATCTCTCGTTTGAAGTTAAAGCAGATATGTAACGCACCGGGGAAAGAGGAAGGTATTTATTAACTGGCTACGTAATTAGTATTATTGTCATTGTTGAACCAAAAATCATTCAAGAGAATAACAAAAAGCATCAATTATAATATTATATGCAGAACAAAAAATGTGTTTTGCGACTATACCCTAAAAACTGTATGAAACATTACTCTTCCTTCGGACATAAATCAGTTGCATGCATATACAGTACGTACGTACGTATATCGATATTGTCCTTCTGGAAGATCGGGAGATCAGGATATGTAAATGGAAATCATTATTTTTGCGTGTGTAACATTATTGTATTGTCCGTCACAACCAGTAATATTGCTCCATAATAATAAATCGAACGAGGAAAGTATTGCTAAACTAGATTCTTTTGTGTCGTTATTTGTGGATTACGGCCTTAGAATCATTAGTAGCAAAATTATTTCCGATTCCGCAGTAGAAGTTATACATGTAATAAGTCTAGTGACTGTGTCTTAAAGTATTTATAGCTACTTTCAATAAACTGAATATCCTTTATTCAAACTAAATTAGAACTACATGTGCTCACTTTCAAACTTAAGAAAGAACTCCAAAAGGAAACAAAAACAACAGGCAAACCGAAAACAAGAAAACAAAAACAGGACAAATTCTTCAGACTTTAAAATGAAACAAACAAAACTGACACTTCTGGACACCAGCGACACAATCTATCAAAACCTTCACAGCTTATTTACAACAGCAATCCCGGAAGCAACAATGACCGGAATCTTAAAAATCGAAATGCCGGAGAAAATAATAAAACGGCATCAAATTCTTGCAGTGAAAATGTCAAAAAAACATAAAACGGACCCACAGATAATCACACACTCAATGTTTCATGGAACGACTTATAATTGTTATGATCCAATTACGAAGTTAGAAGCAAAAGCTGAATTATGCGAGGATAAAGAGTGTGCAATGTGTGGAATTCTTAGGAAGGGAAATAAAAAGCGTAAGACCAAAAATCGATGGTGGTGGAGGAAGAAATCGGGAATTTGGTCGTCGAATGATCCAGCGTATTCATTAAATTTTTCCTTGAAACGACACGATCAACATCCTTATATTATGTTTGTATTGGATGTGCTTTCTCCGTTACCCGGTTATGCACTTGAAGTTTTTAATGAGGCTGTAAGTTTTACTATTACTCATCAGATTTACCCAAATCTTTGTTGTCTTACTAAGATCAGAATTGAAATTTTCGCAGGCTACAATACCTAAATACTTGCTAATCTTTGAATATAACTCCTCATGAACGTTAATAATAGAGAATTGTTGATAATTTTATTAGTGATTAAAATAGAACTTAATTATTATAATTTAATATAACTCTATGCATGTATAAGACAAAAGTATAGATTTCTTTTAATAAGACTGTTTCTATTTCATCTGGATGGTTTTTTCTTTGTTCAGTTAGCCTTTGAGACCTATTAAACATAGTCCTGTGGAATTTATTCCTCGTATTTATTGCACCATAGGTCAACAATTTCTTCGTCGTCATTATACATTTATTTGAACATTAGTGTGTATTAAGTTTGTAACAATTACTATCAGCATACATCTCTGTTGTACATGCGAGATTCGGAGTTGGTAAGGTAAGAGTCAGTGTTGGTCATAGGATTCTATACACACTGTGTAAGTATCGCCACAAAATTTTCATCTCATGTGATCACGAAAAAATTAACGCTAACATGCTTAAAGGATTTGGTTAGGGTTAGTGTGGACAAGTTAGATGTAAAATTGTCTCCCCGACATTTTTATTAGTACTTCAGACTAGATTCAAGATTTTTTGCATTTTCGGATTTGTTTCTGCACGTGTGTGATTGACCAATCAAATTGCATGATCAACATATTTGATTAATCTAATTACAGCATAGCAGGCTTTCGTTGTGATTGGCTAATTTTTGTATATCAATTTTAAAATTCTATTGGCTGATAAAATATAACGTGCTTTTTCTAAATTTTTCTACTTTACTATTGGTCAATTTTTATTAAAAAAAACTTGAATATTTATGCAATAAAGGGAAATAATTAATAATGATTCTTAAGTGTATCAATGATTTAGTCGAGGGAATGTTGTAAAAAGGTATTTAATAAACCAGATTCAAAATTTAAAGAAAAACAAATCAATTTTTATTTAGTCTTAATTTATTTGTAAAACGAAAAACCTGAGTTATAAATACATTTTTATTATATAAAGATGGTTACTCTCGTATTATCGCCAGCCAATCAAATTTAAAATGTCAATTAAATTTTAGATGACTAGTTAATCAGATTGTAGTACCCGATATTTTACCCAGCTCACCCACAATAGCTTTTCCATTCGCGTGATTTTCCAATCCGATTTTCCCGGCCACAACAATTACCCGAAACATTCCGCACTAATTAGCGTAAGGTCATATGTATTTCTTTTGTCTCATTTTTCAATGATTTATAATATTTTTGGTTCGGATCAGATATGTTATATGCATTTTTCGTTTTTGCGAGTTCAACGTGTTGACGACAGTAGACTACAATTTGCAAAAGAGTTACAGACGTTACATTAGAATGCAAGACGATTAAAGGCCAGACTCACTCAGCCCGAGCATTTTTAAAAGTTGAACCAAATAAATTATGAATCCGAGCAGAAATTAAAAAGAATGAGATACTTGAAAGCTAGTCAGGAGAAAGATATTCCCATCTTTTTCCGTATCAAATATAAAAAAGATTCCTGAATTAACCAAATTGGTCGAACAAGGGAAGAAATTATCGATCTCATCATTCAAATCCCATAGAAGAGCAAGATCAGTATTGTAAAATGTAAAAATAACAACTTCGATTTCCTATATGATTGACTTCTACGCTTTGAAATTTTCGGGTTTTGTTAGTTAGTTTCTTGACATTTTTAATAGATAACATTTCATGTGTGGCTTTCTGAGAATTCAATGGTTTTCATGCTTACTTTTATATGATTTCTCTCAGATAATTTTCAAGAGCAAGTTTGTCAAATTGGATTGGGAAGTTCTGTCAGACATAATGAATCGAACACCAACTATAATCAATGTTTTTGATGGTTGTAATGTCAACAAGCTTTCGAATGTTGAACAATTGTTGTGCTGTCATAGGATTTTGTATACCAATATTGCGAAGTCTTCAATGTTATGGAGGTTACAGAGAAAAACTTGTTGATTCTAGAATGTGTGGTTAGCAAAAGCTTGCATCTAGTAAGTTTGCTTATTGAGCCAAAACAAGAAACTTGTTAGATACCAGTAATTCACAAACCATTTTTTGATGTCTTCGTCCGGGCTTAAGTTATTCAGTCATTACGTGTTGAATTGTCCAGCACAGTTACAAGACTGCATGCAACATAAATCAACACTCTTACAGATACAAGCTCTTTCCACTGCCACTGGGAGCTGGTCAGTAGAGTTTGGATGGAATTGACAACAGTTCATTTCTATTTTGAAAGGACACTTGCCAAAAAATCGCAACAATCATTAACGTTAAGTAATAACCAATCATAAGCACAATATTTTGATAAATGTCGTTGTCACGCCGCGTCAGGTGTTAGTATTCACCTTCCGAATTTTTGAAAGCGCTTCTGATGAATTAGACATTTTCCATGGTCTTTAGAAAAAAGGCGAACTAAAGTCTTGATTTGATTGTCAATTCGTAGAAACATAATGACTGAAACTGTCAAATTTATTGTAAAAACGAACTCTATAAAAATGGACACGACATTGTTGAGAAATTAAAAGTTTTCTATCACAAATCATCACACAACTTTTTAATTCTATGAAAAATTTTAATACACCAATTCAAACTAACCAAGCCAAGTTATCTTAGTTCTCAAATATCGTAGTGTATGTACGGATTTTAACGCGCGGACAAATGATTACATCGGTTGCGGATACTAAAATGTAACATGATTATGAGGTAAGTATGTCATTATGACCTCTATATAAATATAACTGAAAATTTCGCATAACGTAGTCGTTTCTGTGATATGCCCACGGTATATAAAAGTCTGGAAAACCCAATTTTTCTCACAGGACGTATCAGTAAAAAATTTATCCGTCGTGAGATTTAGCAGTTTCCAGCAAAATTGCGTTATCATTGTGGATTAGTAAACACCTACGCCATTTTCCTGCTTATAAATAACTTGGTTTTCCCATCTGGATTGTTTCTTCACCGGTTAATAATTGTTTATAAACTTTCTCCAAAAAAATTAAAAGTAAGTTTAAATAGTTAATTTTGTAATGGTTCAAGGCATTGTTAAATATTGCTAAAGACTCTATTTTTTTCTTGATACAGAGATACAGAACAAAATCATATAGCTATATAGCTTTTTAACGGAGTCAAACAAGATATTTTATAGCCGAATCGGCCAAAGTATATCTCAATAAAGAATCTTATCAAATTACTTGGGGAATATTGCCGGGTTTTCCTTGACGAAATTACTGTTTATTTCGAAATTCCTAATTGTGAACTAAAATAAGTGAAGGACATTTAAATAAGAAATCTTCTAGAAAGGATTATCGTTATGACGCAAATTAGAAACATATTATTAATAGGTCGAACAGGAAACGGAAAATCGACATTAGCTAATGTTTTATGCGGGACTGAGAAGTTTAAAGAGAGTTCATCAGGTGTATCTATAACTAAGGAAATTCGCGCTGAGGAGTTTGAACTTGAAACTTTGCTAAGTGGAAATGAGAATTTGAAGTTTAAATATCGCATAATCGATACTATCGGAATTGGTGATACTTCGCTTTCTACTAAGGAGGTGTTAACTGAAATAGCTAAAATTTGTGATTATTTGAGTGGTGAACTGTATCAAGTTTTTTTTATTACTAGTGGTAGGTTTTCTGAAAAAGAAATCGACGCATATAAATTATTTAAGGATGTTATTTTCGACGAACAAATCGTTAAATACACTACAATTGTTCGCACATCTTTTCCGGAATTCGAAGATGAAAAGGTATGCGCGGCAGACAAGACTAAGTTGCTTAGTGAAAGTTCAAAAATAGCCGAGTTGATTAATTCATGTAATGGTTTTATTTACGTTGATAATCCACCAATGAAAGCACATTATACTGGGATAGCTATAAATGCGCGGGAAGCGTCGAGAAAAAAATTATTAACACATTTGATGAATAATTGTGGAAATTACTTTCCACCTAGTTTAGCGGAGCTAAGGAAAAGAGTTGATAGTTATGAGTCTGAGAAAGAAAAACTTGAAGCGAAGTTTGAATACTGGAAGAAAAAATACGACAAGAAATGCTTGATATTATAAAGTATTTTTTATTTTTCAAGCTTTGCTATATATAGTCTTCAAATTCTGATATATAATATACTCTTCACTTGCTTTCCAAGATCCCATTATCTAGTAATACTTCATTCCATCCTTTCCAGTTCATCTTAGTTTGATGCATTTCCAGTAGGGTTTTTCTTTTGCCAAGACTTGAATTGCTCAAATATCTCTTCTTTACACATCTCAAATATAAACACAGATTATATTTCAAAATCTAAGTTCATTCCGATTCTTTTTACTCAACTTTTTTTAATAATTGTCGCAACCATAACAAGTTGTTCAGTCATAAAGCTGATTCGGCTTAACAGATCCCAGTTGTGTTGTTTTCTAACCTAAATTAAGAATATTTAGCTTGCTACAAAACTCGCACACCTGAATATCCAGTTTTTTGAGGGGCGTAGTCTGTTAAAGAGCTCTCCTCCAATATATCTTTCTAATTAACTTAAGGTTTTGTTTAACTTAAGCTTCCCCAAAAATCTTATGATTTTGTTGAAATTTATTAAGCAATCAAAGCCATCCTGACAATTACGGAGTGGTTCAGAATAGTTGCATTTAACGCGCACCCCCAAATCTCCTGCCAGGTTCTTTTCCTGCTCAAATTTAACCGGTCGGAATGGACGAGTCAAAACCCAGATTTCCCAAGTGCTGTTTATCTCTCTCACAGACTAATTAAAATATTTATAGCCTTTGGTTATTGGGGTCAAGGTTGTTATTGAGTCCTATGATAAAACGTAAATCATTACCGATACAACTTTACAACTGTCATAATGAATATGTTATATGAATATTTAAAACTTTGGAATGATGGTAAAGCAAATACGTAATAACGATAGATGTCTCTTCTTATCTTCGATATCTCATTTATCGTTATTAACATGCATAAATCGATTTACAAATGCGTAACGACTTCGTAAATCATCGTTTTCACTGCCATAACGATAATCACTAATAAACTCAAAGATGGCATCTAAATATCGAATATTCATAATTGTAGTAAATGTGTTTTTTGTCAAAATTTACACATTATAATAAATGTTCAGTTCGTGATTGCAGTAAATGTACCAATTGTCAAAAAATTACTATAGAGAATGTTTTCTATATCACAAATTATAAAACTGAAAGGTATAGCTATCGACTGTCTAATAAATTAATGCGCGAAACTTCGAAGAAAGGGAAGTACTTTTGAATGGATCCCTTTTTTAAAGATTTGCAAATTTTGAATATCTTGCAAAGGAGGTTTTGGATCAATTTATAAAGCAACCTGCCTGCCTGGTTGGTCGGACCATTGAAACAACCTATCATGTGGGATCATGAAGTAAATACGTTTAAATTAATGAACTCAAAGTTGTGTTGAAATCATTACACAATTCAAAGCAAATTTCATCCGAGTTTATAAACTAAGTAAAATGAACACCTTTTTAAAGTTAAGAGTATAGTTTTTTTGTTTTCCAATATATATTTTTTTTGGTAATTTTGATCGATGATCATCGAACAAAATGCCAACCCCCTGCTAAAGTGCAAACGAATTTATAGTAGTATAGAATAACTAAAAACTCAGCTGCAAATGAAAACTCGATAGTTATGGATTATGCAGAAACTGGTGATGTATATGAATCCCAAAATACGTAGAATTAATTTGCAAAAGAAACTAAGAGAGTTACATTATATTACTTCAAGATTAGGTAAAATGCACAATGAGGAATTTGTTGATTGTGACTTTCATCCTGGAAATATTTTATTGCTGATTTGGACTTGTCAACCAGCAGATATAGAAAAACCTGATCAAAAAATTTGTGAATGTTTCCTTAAATGGAAAACCATACACTAAATCTACAAATATTTATAGTTTTGGGATCATTGCGTACGAGGTTGTCACAGGTGAATGACCATTTTGTGGTCAGAGTCACAATATACACCTTATACATGTATGCGATACCTATAATGGAGCACGACCTAAGATACCAAATAATGTTTCCGGATGGTGCAAATTCATTATTGAAAAATGTTGGGATCCTATTCCAGAAAATAGCTCAACTGTTTGGGAACTTAATGCCTTCATCAACTCTATCCGATCTCCAGAAAGCTACTACGAATTGAATACTTTACATTTTCAGTAATACAGCTCTTTAGTATATCATATGATATGCGAAGAAAAATGCAGGAATTAATGGAATTTGACAAGGAAATGAAAACTATTCCTACAAATATGAACAAAAAACAACAAATTCATACAAACGCAATCGAATTTTTGCTAATAAATTAATTTCTGATAAAGGTCATATTAAGGTTACATATTAATTAAAATTATATCGAATATTTAGGGTTTATATGTTCTAACGATTTCGATTTTAGTATATCACACGAAATCAAAGATAAAAAGATACATATATCGATTGTCTTAAAATAATTACAAATTTATGATGATGCACTTTCAACAAAATAATGAATACTGCTCTTTGTTAATGAAAATGGTAAATACTTTTAGAATTTTTATTATTCTTTATTTAATTTATGAATCTAAAAACATTAATTCTATAAAAAAAGTACAGTGGCAATCAAATGTAATGTAACAATGTCAAAATTTATTTATAATAGAATACGAGTTTTTCTTTCTATTTAAATGTTCAATATTTTTCATTATGCAAAATACAAATTAATTTTTTGTATTTAAAATATATAAAAAATTAATCAACTCAGTAAAAAATATTCAGAATAAATCTAATCTTTGAATATGATAGAATCGGTCCTTTCTGAGCATATTCACGGATTAAATTTTGTATTACTTCTTAGTTAAGAAGTTTATACAGTTTATAAAATACAAACATTTGATAACTTTAGATGTTATATCATAAAATTTTATACATTATTTGATTTTTAAAAAGGATCAATCTAATTGAAACAACTATTACATGTAGCAACTTCAATATTAACCAATTACATATCAGAATCTTAACTCTAACAAAAACTCAGATCTTAATTATCCAATTAAAATATGATTGTTATAAAATAATCTTAAAAAATAGTTATATATTCTAAAATATATGTGTACAAATTTTGAGCTGATTAGCTAACAATTTATTAGACCAAATATTGTGGGATAAATTAGTGCTAAATTTGACTAATTGATATTATTTGAAAAAATAAGCAATTTTATATTAATAAGTAAAATAAATCAAAGTTTTGAGTATTTTGAACATCTTTCATCAAATTAAAAAATCACTTTGAAGTATTTTTAATTTTCTTTGGTTTGACTCTATTCAAATATACAGATTGAAGACAATAATAATATATTTGTAACTAAATAATTAATATAAGAGAAAAATTTTGTTAAAAATTCTTGAAATTTGTTTATCAATAAGAAATAAAATTTACTTATTCCAAGAATTATTTACTTAAGTTTTGAGAATTTTTTTCAATACTATTTTTATTAGTCTAAGTCTATATATTTTCTTTTCAATTTTACTAACAAAATAGCAAAATAGATTTTACTAAATGTTTCAGATTTATAAAATTCAACTAATTCAAATTAATTATAAGACTATCACTTATATTTGCTTCACTTTGTTTTTTTGTACAATTAAATCAGGTTGCAAATTGTTATTTTTCATTTTGAATAATTTTTTTTAAATCAAGTAGTTTTATAAAGTTGGTACTACAATATTAGTTTTAAATATTCCACAATCAAAAATATCTTTATGAATAATTTGTATTTCAAAATAATTAATTATTAAATTTGTTGTTATTTTAATAAAAAATTTCTTGATCTGATAATTATAATAAATAAAATAAAAAAGCTTTATAAAATATATTAAAAAATTAAAATTATAATAAAAAACCAGTTCATAAAATAAAGTGAAATTTTGTTGAATTTTTTTATACTATTTTTAATAATTTAACTAGTATTAAAAAAATAAAAAATTTAATATAAAATACAAAGATAAGAAAAAAAAGATATTTAAATCTAATAAAAATATCAAATAATTATAATACAAAATTAATAATTATAACAAGTTACAAAAAATAACAAGTAATAAATAGATTTGTAAAATATTAAATATTCCTATAAAAAAAAATCAAAAAGAGATGTAGTTTTTTAGTTCTGAAAAATTACCAGTTTTGTTAACAAATTTCTGAATTAAAATCTGATAAAAATCTAATTAAAAATTCAGTAACTTTGGAATGTGATATCTTGTGATTCACTAATCTAATCTGAACCAAAATAATATCATTCAATTTGACTAGTCTTAATAAATTGAATAATATTATTTTTGTTTAGATTGTATTAGTGAATTATAAGATATTATATTCCAAAATTATTGGATTTTAATCAAATTTTTATTAGATTTCAATTCAAAAATTGTTAACAAAACTGGTAATTTTCCAATACTAAAATCTAGATTATTTTCTGATTATTTTTTTTATTTTTTTTACAGAGATCTAGATTTTTTAGATAGAAATAGAATTAATATAATATAATTTAATTTATTTCTAGGTCTTAAATAATTTGAAATACTGTTATATAATGGAATTTCATATTAATTATTAGTCAAAATTATATTTAATTTTATTGAATAATTTTGAGAATACATATTTATATTTTAATTAGTTAAGTTCTTTATATTTATATTTCATATTATATTATTTATATTATTATTTATATTAGCTTTTATATTATTTATATTATATTTATATTATTATTTATATTATTATTTACAAATATTAAATAGATTATTTATTTATATTATATTAAATAATTTATATTTATATTAAATTACAAATAAATAAATAAGTGAGTAATCAAGTAAGCAAATAAGTAATTTTCTTGTAAATATTATTGATAGTTTTAATTTAATAATTTTATATAAAAGAAGTATATATTTTAGCTTAAAAAATTAGTTAATTAGTTAATTAATCAAGTAATAACTCAAAAATAAACTTCTTTGATAATAATCTTCTTTTGAAATTAATATAATTAGAATATT